ACTTTGAATCGCTTCTAAGTCCTGATGTGATTTTGAAACAAGGTTCAGTGTATGTATGATGTTATACCTGAATGAAGACAGATATTGATGCCGCATTGCCGACTGTTGAAGAAACGACCTAAGCCTTACGCCAACTGTAAAATTGCAGAGCTGCAAGAATTTGTGAAATTCAACTAGAGTTAATTCAGGGTTCTGGATTGAATGGAATGCTGGCACTGTTGAATCGGTTTGGATCGGTGTGACAGAAAGAGATGATCCCAAGTGACTCGACAAATGATACTGCAGTCCCAATATTCAAGAAAGGTCATTTATCAGATTCAGATAACTAGCTCATAATCAGTCCTTCTCTTAGTTCGTGCTAAAGTGTTCGCGCTTGTTACGGTGAATATGGTACACAAACTCGAGAATATTTTGAATGAAGAACAGTCTGGTTTCAGGGCCGACAAACTGGGCTGGTTTAACCAGATATTCACAATGACGAGTTATTTGGAAAGAAGAGATAATGGGGATCGAGATTTTTTACGTTCTTACGGATCTTCGTTGGTTTCATCAAAGTGTTTGCCTCAGTCTGAAGAGATGCTTTGTGAGTAGTTGGTGAATAATACGGAATCTAAACCAAGGGTCTCGACATAATTAAAAAGATGTATGGCTTTTCGTGTAATACAGGGCAAATTCGACAAATTCTTTCGTACAAGGTTTGGAGTAAGGCAAGGAGGATTAAACCGACTGTTCGTTGCGACTTTTTTTATGAATGTTCCAGCCAGTACGAAGGAGTGAATCTATGACGATGAGAATGGGCAACATCTTCACAAAATCTCTTGCGTTTGCGGATGACGTCGTTTTACTCGCTGGCAACTTCAAAGATGCGACAGTTCGGTTCCTAAGTTCATTTCAATTAAGTTCAGATCCACGACATCACCGCCCTTAATTCTTAGGCAGATGTGTTCAGCCTGATGATCTCAGCCTCTCTTAAAGGATACAGAATGGATGGAAATTTGTAAAACCCAAATCAAAGATTATCTGGCCCATGACACCGAAGTTGTGTAAAAGATTGCAGAGCTTCTGTATTATGGGATTATGGGGATACTTGCAGACGGACGAGTAGCGAACGAAGTTACGTGGCGCTGTGCCTTTGAATTTACCAGCAAGCAGCAAAATTCTCAAACTGATGAAGAAGAATATGTTGGCAAAGGCACCCGCCTGAGGATATACAGAGTTTAAATTCTGAACAACTTGCTCTGTGGCTTGGAGACGAACGCACTTGACAGAGCTGAAAACAGAAAACTAAAATTGAGTATTTTTGAGATCAGTATTAGCAGTGAGGTGACACGACCTGGTATAAAATGCTGTTCTAAAAGAGATTAGAATATACAGCTGACTGTAAACAATGCGCTTGAGATGGAGATCATTGCCAGTGATTAAATGATAGCAGTCTTCCAACGGAAGTATAAACGGAATGCCCAATCGCAGGCGCTTCAAAGAAGACCTCCAGCAAGAGGGAAAAATCTCATTAGATCTGACATGACGTCTAGAAGATTGAACAACGGGCACTCATTTATTCGATTCAAATGGAATGCTTGTGCGGCACCTGACGTCGTCTTAGAAGCAATGAGATAATTGGAAAAGAATAGATGTGTATATAATGGTTGATTATTTTGGCTGTTCTTTGGAATATGTAATGTAGTCACGAGTTGATTTTCAGATCTTGTGCATTTATAGTAGCTCGATTGTTATAGGGATAACAGCCCTATATTGTCGTATGTGATTATTTTGAACTGCATTTTACGGGCAGGGCAGTGCATAGCAATGAAATGCAAGAACTGGCAGAGCATTAAATTCAGGTGGCACTGTAGAGGCAGAAATTATGTTGCATTTGCTGCATAAACACTGGTAAATATTTAGCGTCAACTGTGTTCGTCCTGTTTGAAAGAACTGGTCGTAGTGATGCTTTTCTGCAGTTGTTCACCCATTGTACATTTATCTTACGAATTTTTGTTTTTGCGTAAAATGTTATATGATCATGCTGAATTCAATACCAGCATTGACTTCCTTTCAGTACTGAATGATTTTAGGTTGTTCAACACAAAGAACACCATATGATATTGCAGCCAGTTTATCAATCAATTGTCTGTTACCAGTGCCAAGAGCCTATATGGGGGATCAACCCTTCAGCGTTTCTGTGCTCAAGTAATGTTAAGAAAAAATTATATGAACAAAAACCCTGGGACTGGGTTGTTTCAGAATGTACGGTCGTCGTGCACAAAAAGTGTCTTTCGGCTCTGGAAGACAGCTGCTACGGAATTGAATCTCGCAGATCTTCTGTCTCAAGAAAGACCTTGCCCAGCAGTGGCAGTCAGATTTTGCGGCGGGAGACAACCGGCGTATTTAGGGAAGTAAGTAAATAACAACATTCATTGATTGATCCGTCTTCGTGAATAACTGGGATCACCTTTGCATAGTCTGAATAGCCATGCGCATTTGTATCGTGGGAATGTTACAACAAGTTTCCATCTGTTTTTCTGCTCATCGTCTCATCTGAGCTGAGCTACATCAGTTAGGCGCTTGCTGCCCTGTGGCTACCCATCCATCATTGCTGAATTGCATCAGTCCACAATGGTCAGACTCGAGCTAACGTAGGGAACTGGAGGAAGGGTATTTTTTTCATTCTGCTGTTTTTTATATTCGATCGTGGCAAATGGCTTTGGCTACAGTTAAGCTTGCCTGTCGTCTTGGTTACAACGTCTGTTTGCCCTTCATCCCGGCCGAATGAGGTTTTACGTGACGGTTTTCTGAGCCTTCGCCCACTCAAAGTTTTCTTCCTTGTGTTAAGGTACAGCCATTTCTTTTCCGGGAAGTAACTAAACACAGTATGATTCCTTGTAATCGACCTACAAATAAAACTGGTCTTTCAGCGCAAAAAAAAATCGCAGCTGCTCAATTGTTATAGAATAGATTATCGTGCGAACGACGGTGAAACTCCGACGCCGCGTGGGAGAAAAATGAAATAAGATCGCTGAAAATGTACGCTTACATTTGTCGAAGAATAGTGCTTTAGGACCTCACAAACGCAAGAAATGTTATAAAAGATACACAGGCATTGTTACATGAACATTTTGATACAGACGGCCTGTTTCAACATTCGTAATACGATCAAAACTAAATGACCCGTTTGAAATGTGCAACGTCCGTGCTTAAAACGAATAGATCAGAGTTGGTTGCTTCATCTCGTACAAGATCTTAGAGCAGTTATAATTTGGTTAGTTGAATGATCTGTTGTTGTTATGAGATCTTCATTTCATTTGGCAGGCAGCTTTACGTTTCGTTTATGATTAAATAAGTGTGTTTACAAGTTGGAGTTTGTTATATTATAACAGCTACAAGCAGCTGCCTTTCGGTTGCATAATTTCACGTCATGTATACAGCTGGCATATGCAGTATTGATACCAAATGTAATTCATTAAATAAACCACGTGCCATTGTGTTTTGGCAGTGATGCAATTTTCAGCATTCTTTTAAGACTGGCTTCAGA